CAACTTTGTTTACAAATCGTGCTGCAAGTTTAATTTAGAAATGCATCAGAAAGTCAGTAATCAGCATGATCAGACTAGATTGTGGTCGGCCGAACTGAAACAGAAAAATCTGAATTTTTTTTTGCTCTGTAAATGCACTATTTTAACAGCCAAGAAATTGAAACAACGCATAGCAGTAGCAAAGGATTTCTCTGCAGGATTATCTAGTCATGCTCCACTGTAGCCTCAGCAGGTCTACCATTGACTGTGCTGACTGTAGGCCGAGCCAATCACAGCGCTCCATGTTCGTAGAGAGATCTTGGGAAAATTTAGCTCCATTACAGCAGAAGACAAAGACTGCAGAGCTGTGACGAAGCAAAACTACAAAGATGGCGTCAGCATAGGAATGATGCTTATTTGAAGTGACTTTGGCACTAACTTTAGATGATTTAGATTTGGGCTTTTCTTTAGCTCTTTTCAGACGACATACCATGCCAGCAAATGTGTGTGTCTTGTGAACGTGACGTGGCGGCATGGCGTTGCAGGAATTTTGCGGCATTTGTGCTGCCAGGCTTGGTTGTACTTTTGCCGCAACACCAGACCAGTGAATGCATATAACGCCTTGGCGCAGCAGAGGGAGGTGTCAGAATCATGTGAGGAGTCATTGCCGAGCTCCGCCTGCAGCCATATTGAAAGTGAAAGTAAAAATGGGCAGTAAGTTTAACTTTTGTAAACAAAACCAGCTGAGATGATCAACAGAAGCTCCAGGAGCTTCTGTCCGTTAGAGCTGGAGCTCAGAGCACCAGGGACCGTGGAGGACAGACACCTTTAGGATCAGCTTGGTAAAAACACTTCATGAGCACAGCTTCGATCGCAATAGAAAGCAAGTTACGTCCACGATAAAAGGAAGTGCGCAGCAGTGCAGAGGCCGCCCCCACAGCCCCTTTTTGTCGGCATTGTGTAATCGTTTGTAAAAAAAAGACACGATTGTGCAACATTACCGCCACGGTCAGACCACGCCACGGCATTGCTGCAAATTGACGGCATTCTTATCTAAAACGCATATTTGAGGAAGTATTTGTTACTTATTTTGAAAAAGGATGCTTCGACAGTGTCTGGTGGACTGCCTGTTAAAGGATTTCTGTGAATATGTCACATTTTTCATTGCTCTTATTGGTCCAAGCACTGTCCAATTGCATGTGGAGACAATCTGAAAGACAACCGTAGATTCTACACCTATAAATGAGCTCTGTGTGGGTCGTGGCCAGACTGCATACAGGTGAAACTTTAAAAAAATTAGAATAAGGTGCAAAGTCTATTCATATCAGTAATTCAGCTTTGACGACAAGTTTTAAACTCCGGTCCTCGAGGGCCATTTTCCCACACGTTTTAGTGTTTTCCCTGTTTCAACACACCTGATTTCAATCAGCAGGTGAGCAAGCTTCTGCAGATCCTGATGAGCTGCTGCACAGGTGAATCAACTGTTGGAAGAGGGAAACAACAAAAAGACGCAGGATACCGGCCCTCGAGGATTGGAGTTTGACACGCCTGGCTTAGAAGAGACCGTTTTAAGCAGGGGTATTCAGTCCGGTATCCAGCACGTTTTCGTGTTAACTCTGTTTCAACACACTTGATTTCAATCAGCAGGTGATTAACAGGCTTCTGCAGAGCCTGGTGAGCTGCTGAACAGATGAGTGTGTTGAATCAGAGAAACCACTGCTGGATACCGGACCTCCAGGACTAGAATTGAATACCCCGATTTAAAGGCTCAGGAAACCCTTTGCAGGTGTTTTGGATTCATCAGCTGATTACAGTCTGACCCTCTGAGTCTAGAACATTGAACTTTTTCACAATATTCTAATTGTCTGAGATTTTGAATGTGAGGTTTTCATAAACTGGAAGCTATAACCATCACAAATATAACAAATAAAGACTTGGATTATCTGGCTTTGCATTGAATGAGTCTATCTCATTTATAAGTTTCACATTTTAAATGAAATTTCTCACACAAATGAAATGTTGCAAAATATTCTAATTTTTCCAGTTTCACCTGTGTTTACATATATAGGATGGCTCACCAGGCAGCAATGAAAAATCCAACACCTTCCCCAGTCCACGAACTCGCCACAGCTGAGTCTTTTTGAAAAAGCAATAACAGATTTACATAATAAATCTTAATTATAAAGATGACCCTTTAAATGCTGGTACATTAAATAATAGCCAGAAAAGACATTATTTATAGTCTGGGTTATTTACTGTTAATCAAATAAAATGAATATCTGTTTAACCCTCTGATGCATGAATTATGAAATCTTCACCCATGATTTTTTTAACAATTTTTTTCATTCATCTTCAGGTGTGAATGAAACAACTTTCAACAAATATTTTTTGTAACATTTTGTTAATTTACAAATAATTTATTACACGTCCACCTCAGTGGACAGTGTGCATTCTGAACATGAAATATGGTGGCTTGACTTACTGAAGTCCAAACGGAGGGGCTCACATGCAATAAAGTCTTCAACAGCTGTGCTTAATAGCAAAAATAAAGAAATAACAATTTTGAGTACCTGTCCACTGTAGTGACCATTATGCATCAAAGGGTTAAAAAATAGTATGCAATTATAACACTAATGGGATAGAGTTTAATGCAGCCACAGGCAGTACATAGGATCTCCACCAGATGGCAGGATGGTCTGAAACAGCAGATTTCTGTGGAATGTACTAATCCTGTTAATTAGGGAGGTGCGAATCTTCTTAGAGCCTCAGACGTATCCGATTTTAAAGTTCTGGTGTCTAAAGAAGAACCGTGAATTGAATAGTTTAGAAATGATTTGAGAGAAAGTAAAATTGGGCAGATCAGAGAGGTACAAAATCAGAATGAATGCACATGCAGTGAAACTCTGGCAGTAAAAGATAAAAAAAATCTATTAGCAGTGCTAAAATACATACAATTAAACCCCAGTCCCTTGCATAAAATGTAAGATTTTGGTCACTTGGTGGCACATTTTACAGGTAGGCTCTTAGTTTGGGCTGATCTGATCAAAT